TCGTTGCCCGATGTGCGAAGAACCTATCTCGACAAAAAATCTGGCGCGCTCAAGTGGCTTATAGTAGTAGGATCCTGGATTCGAGTTTCCGATACGCCGCAAATATCGATTCCTAAGGATTCCATTGTACGAGCCAGACAAGCTTGTTGAACTACCTGCATCAAAGTCCTCGTGGTACAATGCACACAGTGCTATTTGGCAACGACCTTTGGCGAGCGATATCTAAGTTGCTTGGGGACGATTACAAGTCGGAAGAAGGAGAAAATGGAGAGGGCCAGGTACTGAAGACAGAGAATTAAACAAAGGTTGGGATATCTGAACAGTAGCCCACTTATCACTACCCACCCTGCTCGATGCAATGGGCAGCGCGGTCCTGATTATCCTGCGCGACGACCGATGCAATACAGCGGGGTTTTTTAACTGGTAAACTGCTCCTCTTCGTGTTTCTTTTGCTGGAGTAACCTCTTCAGGAGCGGGAGTGGATAGTCAAATAAAGCCTGTAGCTGTCATTGTGAGACAGCTTTGTCTGGTCCCTACTCATTGACCTTTCAGGCATGCTTGGATCTTCGGCTGTGAGGAGCCATCCTGAGATTCTCGCTCGGCGATGGAGGCACACAAGCCATCACACCACGTCAAGATGCAGTCTCGTCGTGATGGCGGCTGCTGGTTGGAATCCAGTCAAGAAGCTAGCGTTGAGCCTTGGCACTAAACGCAATCATAACACCACAAGCCTCAAATGTCGAAACGTCTGATACACGAATGTTGAAGCATGAGGATTAGGTTGGATCAGAAGAACGCAAGGAGATGTTTGAGGTACGGTCTTATATGTGTGTTTTGGAGACAGCCTACTGCTACAATGAAAGTTTCAATAGTTCTAACTGAGGTATGCTTGCTGACCGATGTGATAAAGTGTGTGGACATTGAACGCGACTAACCAAAAAAGAAACTTTTGGCTTCCAAAATGCTATAAGTTCTGAATGTTTTGTCCTGTTGGTACCGGAGTGATATACCGGTATCAGGTGTGAACAAGAGGCATCTAGAGTTATTTTGAATTGAAATGAAGAACTAGTCAGATATGGAAGAGGTTTTTCCAAATGGGTGACGGAGACTTTAGGACAGCATACTTTGCTGCAGCCCACACCGTCGAAGGGGTTTTTCTTTTGGAACACTTATGGGACTCTCCGACCCAAAAGTCTGACCCACACTGCAGTGGGATGGAGAACCAGGTCGGGTGCATAACCGGAGCACTCGTGTGGGAGTTTGTAGTGACCTGTTACCCAAATTCTTTGGGTTTCAGTTCAGAATATGATAAAAGTAGAATTTCGGTGTTCGAACACCGTTGTCTACGTCGCATTGCACGAATCTGGTGGGGTAACCGGGGGGAGGGGGTCATGCTTAGGTTAGGCGTAGAGTTTTAGATAATCGCGGTCGTCCACTGCAGAAAATAGTCGACCTCCATTGACGTCGCTGGTTGGGACATGTGTTACGCATGTCACCAGATGGGTTGCCACCGCGAGCGATGTTTCTCGAGGCAGGTGGCGGCTGGTAAAAGGTCAAGGGTGGTCAAGCTAAGACCTTACTGAAGGGTATGAAAACCCTAAACAGGAGACTGGGTCA